CAGGAAAGGAAAATATGAAGTGCCAAATCCATTCACAAGTTTGGACGATTATGCATTTGCCGAGTGCAATTGGACGACTGTTATTGTACATGAAAATGTGACTCAATTTGCCATTGGCGTATTCCAAGATGCACACATCGAAGTTGTGGAACTGCCCAACACGATGTCTGAAATTGGCGATGAAATGTTTAGAGAATGTGCTTCTTTGAAAGAAGTAAAATTGCCAAACAAGTTGACACGAATAGGAATTAACTGTTTTGTTGGGTGCACAAATTTGAAACAAATACAATTGCCAACTTCAATTCAAATATTAGACGACAACAGTCTTGGTGATGTTGAAGTCAGTAACACATACTCAGAGTTTGAAGTGTTGCAACACGTCGGTAAAAACGTGTTGAATAAATTACACTTCACAACTTTTGTACTTCCAGAAGACGTTAAAGACGCAAATTCGTATTTTGAGAATTGCAAAGAGCTCACAGCTGTCACTTTCAATCAATCAATTTGTGAGTTGAACAGAACATTTTGTTATTGTGAAAGTCTCAAAGAAGTTGTCATTCCCGAAACCATCACTCAAATTGGCGATTTTTGTTTTTCAAAGTGCATTTCACTCACACACGTCGACCTTCCACAAAACATATGTACACTTGGTGATAATACATTTGAGAGTTGTGTGTCTTTGAACGTATTAACACTTCCACACAATGTCACCAAACTTGGAAATAAATGCTTCAAAAACTGCAAATTACTTTCACGCATCAATACACGACACATCATAAATATGGGCAAATCGTGCTTTAAAAACTGCACACAACTCAGTGCAATAACTGTGAAATCAACAACGCGATATGGAATATCATGCTTTGCACACTGCAACATTAAGAGTGTTGTCTTTCCAAAAGAAGTGGTGACGTCGTATGTGAGTTCCGAAGAGAGGTTTTGCAATTTTGACACACACATTGTCGACTTTGGTTTGAAAATGTTTGTGTCAGCAACTTCGCTGCAGTCCGTAGCATTGCCAACAAACATCGATGTGTTACCCAATATGATGTTTAGTGGGTGTGTTGCACTTTCATCGGTCAAAGGCACCAACCACGTCACTGAGATTGGCAATTCGTCTTTTGCAAATTGCTGCCGTCTCACTGAAATTCAATTAGAAAAGGTTGTTAGCTTTGGTAACAGTGCGCTCTGTGGTGTTGGCATCACACACATCAATTTCAACACACAAACAACACGACTTGGCGAATGTTGTTTGTCAAACACGCCAATCACACACATTGAAATACCAGAAGCTGTTTGTGAGATGTACAAGATGCTTGCAGACTGCGACAAACTGGAGGATGTCACTTTATACAGCGATTATCTGTACACCCCTCTGATATTCAGTCGGTGCACTTCTCTCAAAACAATCACTTTTGCAAATGACACCAACATCATCAAAACTGACATCTTCAAGGATTGCGTCTTGTTGGAGAAAGTCGTGTTTTTTGGTGAAATCAGTGATATTGGTAATCATCTCTTCAAAGAGAAGACTAAATTGCAGGAAGTCTACTTCCCATCGACGTTGACACACATCGGACGTGAAGTGTTTTCTGGGTGCGAACAGCTGACCAAAGTGGGCGACTGTCAACGCGTCCAAATCATTTCACAAAAGGCGTTTCAAAACTGCAAAAGTCTGAAGGAGATGAACTTGTCGTCACATCTCAAAAAGATAGAGATGAATGCATTTGTTGGATGCACAAGTCTGGAAACCGAATTCTGCAATACATTTGGAATTACTACTGAAATATTACCAACAAAACAAACGAAAAAGTAAAATGAAGTGAAGATGTTTAATGAATTTGGTGGTTTATTGTAAACAACTTTTATTTTTTATTTAACATGTTTGATCTGATATTTACATAACACATATCATATCAAAACTTTAAATAATTGAAGAAATTACTCTTTTTTGTTATATTCCAAGCTAACACAACGTTATGCATTGACAAAGAAACAAAAACCGGTTATATTGGTTTGTCAAAAATAAGCATATTATTGAAATACTTGCTTATTTTTGGTTGTGTTAAAAAAATGAAATGTTGTTATAGTTTTTGAGTTGCATTAGAGGTTTTATAACTTAACAAAAAGAGCAAGAACTGTTAGTTGGTCACCAATTCGATTAAGTTTGGACATGATTAGATTATCATTGTTTATTTTTTTGTTTTGAGTCTTATAGATTAAATAAGTTGTATATTTATCAAGTATACACATTTTAGTTGCAAATTTTCAAATATATTATCTTTGTAAATATATAATTCATACTTATTAAAATATTATTGAATGTTATATTGTTTAATAAACAACTAATAAATATTTAAAATAAAGCCAAAATGTGAATGAATTAAGCTTCAAGGATTTTCACAAAGTAAGTGACAAACTCATCCTTTGAGATTTTGCCATCCTTATCACTGTCCATTAATTTGAGAACATCCTTTTCACCTTCTTTTGGAGTTGATTTGGTGTAAAATCCTTGCAGTCTGGTGATTTCTCGACCTTCAAGATACCCGTCTTTGTTTTGATCAAGCCATCCAAACAAGATAGTTGCAAACTCTTTGGATTTTTCCTGTTTTGTCAATTCTACTGTTTCAAAGAATTCTTTGAGCTGGTCATGGTCCATCTTTCCGTTGTCTTTTGTATCTGTACAATATACAACGAACAAGACAATGTTAACAACATCCTCTTCATCTTCTTCACTGTCTGCACAACTTTTCATGAAGTTGGCGTACTTTTCGATTTCTACATAACCAGTGTGTTCGGTATCAAATTGCTCAAACATGGCTTGAATTTGTTCTTCGGTCATCGAGTGTATGTTATTAGATTATTTGTCTGAATTTATACTAAAAATGGGTGTAGTATTCATTACACTTTTGATAATTTTAAAATGAATATTGTATTCTATTGATCATATTTTACATTGTAAGTCGTTACATTTTAGACAAATAATAATTTAATTTAAATAAAATGTTTTTTACACAGACATTTATTTTATTGTTATTATATAACTACACCCAAAGTTTTAACCATTTAAGTTTATCATCGGAAAGATATTCAACAATAATTATGTTAAACAACGATTACACCAGTTATTAAACACATAGAAAATAAATTATTACCGAATGAAAACATAAATGTTAATTTTTATCCACAATTATTATAATGTTAATATTTCAATATTTGTATTTTGATGTAAATCCATTTAACAAAATAATAAAACATGTTAAAATTATCGTTTTTTCTTTGTGTCTGTTGAAAAACATAAAATTCAAATAAAACCGAAAGGATTACTAAATGTTTCATTTTGAGATTGGTGTTAAAGAGCAACATGTTATTATTTACTTAATTAAAAGAACTATAAGTTGTATATTTTATTTTTTAATGTTAAATTTAAACCGCTGTGAATAAAAACACGAAATAATGGTCTCAACATTATCTGACAATTTATATTTAAATACAATGCCAAAACAATATTAAAGTGACTTCCCAAGGTGCGCAAGTTAAGGTATAGTTCATTTATAATTTTTTTATTAAAAAAATAGAATCATTAATTTTTTGAAATTTTGAAAAAAAAAGATTATTTTTAGTTTAATTATTAATTATAATTTTGAAGTGATTACTAAACTATACTTTAACTTGCACACCTTGTGACGTTGCAATTTTTAACTTTCACACTTCGAATACAATTAATTAAGCAACAATTTCGGGAAAGCAACCCAATGGAAATAATGGAAGGACCAGTTCTGGACAACAGTACACATCGATTTGAGATAATGAACTGCACCTATTAAACAGACTATTTGTTATTGTTTGCTAAAATGGCACAGAGATAAACATAATGTTTATCATACTTCTTTTTGTCACTTTGAATTACGCTGACACAAGAGACATCGACATTTATTCACGTCTTGAAACAAAACAGTTTTTACATTAAACACATAGACAAAACACTACCCAATTTTTATAATTTAATTTGCTTTTTGTAGTTTATTAATTCAAGCACCAAAGGGTTGTGTGTTTTTTGAAACAATTTGGAAACGAATAACACTTTTTAATAAAATGTTTTTGAACTAAAATTTAGTCTTGCACGCCCTTTCCCTGTAAAAAAGACTAATAATTTTAACTTGCACACCTTGGGGAAGTCACTTTACTTTTGAATATTATTGTTTGTGTGTTGTTTTTATTTTATTGAATACAATACATAATTATACGTCACATATTTTGTTTGTTAATTGTATTATATTATTTATCACAGTAATTATATTACTCATTATATTTGAAATAAAAATATAAAAATCAAAACCAATGTATTACCACAATTCTATCAACCGTTTGTTCTTCAAAAACATTTCCTCCGAACAACTTTGTATTTATTCCATTATAAAGAGATTCTGTGTATTGATTAAAATAGAATGTCGGATTTGCGTATCCATTTACTATAATTGAAAACATATTAAACATTGCATTGTCGACGGAACCAAGCGAAAAACAGTCCAACGAATTATTTCCCAAATAGTCCTTTCCATTTCTATGGAATTTAATTGGCAGTTGATGTTGGTCTTCTATAAAAGGTGTTTCAATAAAGAAAATAAAATAATTTTTATCCTTTACAAATTGGTTTCTTGGTTTTTCATTCAAAAAGTTACCAAAAATGACACCACTTGAAGTTGTCAACAAGAAAGTGTAATTATTTTTTGCAATAAGTGAAGTTCTGAATGATATTTCATCACGGGAAGAAATATCAGTGTCATACAAAATCTCAAAATTATAAAAACCAACCCACTCTTTTAATTTGTCAAGTACTTTTTCATGAAATTCCATTGATTTTTTAAGTTCAAAAAATAACAAAAATTATATGAAAATCATTACCAATATTTAGTTTGTTGTTATTATTAATATTATAATTAAAATATTAAATATTAAATATTAGATGTTAAAAAGTATGATGTTTAATTTAATAATAAATTGTTGTAGAATGATAATAAAAAACTTATGGAATAAATCTGAATTTTAATGGATCGATGTGATTAATTTTTTAACAAAATTTTAATCATAAATCAAGTTAATAAACAATATTAACTTGATATATATTTAAGTTATATTTCTTTATTTAAAACAAATTTAAAATAATTCTAAATCATATATAGGTTATAAACAACTACTTAAACATTCACAAATCAATTTAATTTATTTTACATATAAATTTGATAAATATTCACATTTATGTTATTGGTTGTGTTATTGGGTATATGGCAATAAAATAGTTGTATAAATAATATATTTTTATGACTTTTTACCTATAAGTTAGAGACATTTTCATTTAAAAATAAACAAAAATTAATATGGTTTATGTACAGACCAGGCGTTTCCAAAATAATTATTGCAGAAAATGTAGTATTATAACGTACGAATTTATAGAGAAAATAAACAT